ATATATAAAATTCATACAGTCATATAGTCATAAAGGGCAAAGATGTCCTACCGAATCATTCTTCTGCTTCACTGTAATTTCTTCACAGTCATATCTGAGTTCATAAGTAGGTACAACATACCAGTGAGGTTAAAAGGAAGGGTCATTAGGGTGAAGTGACTTTCACTCAACAAGAAGACTGCTTACAGACATCTTAAGTGTTCCAAGTATGTATATACCAGCTATCAAAATTACTTCAAAAATTATGAAGAGGTTGCCATTTCTGAGGAGATGAGTGGAGAGGAGAATTTTAAGTAAACAGTTCGCAAAAAGTAGAAGTCATGTCCAAATGAAGGAGATAAGAAAATATGTTTATGTTAAATGTGAAGCATGTTAAATGCAAAGCATTGATGAATGAGGACTAAAAAGGTGCTGAGGAATAACATGGGGGGGGGCTTGGAAGTATTAATAAAAACACTTCCATACATGCTGGAAACAGGAGGTCATTGAAGAGCAGGTAGAGACAATGACTCTTGAACAGGTAAAAGGAGAGCTCAAGTAAGGCAAGGCCACAGGAGTGGAAAAACACAAATTTTAGGTATCTTAGAAGAATTGAAGAAGATTTCCACACCAGAACCTTTCTTTACAGGGAAGGATTTGGAGGAGCTGTCTACTGTTGGAATACAGGTGAAGGAGTTTTCAAGCAGATCAATAAATCAGTAGTGACAAATTGTCAGGAACAGACACTGTTCACCAAAGAAGTCAGATCAAATTGAAATATGAAATTTCTAAAATTCTTACAGTAAAGTCATAGCTGTAGGGCATAGGGTAGATGGCTTAGCCTCAGAGAAGGTGGTGGCAGCCATTAGGACATCAAGAAAGCTCCTGGAACTACAGGCCAGTAGATCTGATCCCCACTCCAGGCAAATAGGTATAAGCTATGGAAAAAACCCCAAAACTATAAAAACTTGGATAAGTATAACATTGCTAGGTAAAATAAGTTAAATAAATAAATAAATAAAGCCGTAAGCTTTGTTTTTAGAAAGGAATTATGTATCACAAACCTGTTGCAGTTCTCTGAAAGAAGACTAGTAAGTGCATGGCCAGGGATGGTTCAATCAGTGTGATGTGTCTTGTTTTCCAGAATAGTTAATTTCAGTATTATTCGTTGAGTACTTTAAAGGAATTAAGTGATCAGGGAATGAGAGAGAAGCTTTTACAATATACCTGTATATTTCCAATAGGAATTGTGCTGAGACCTATGCTGCTCAAAATTAATAATTTGGAACTAATTGTGTGAAGTTATGAATTTGTGATGATAAAAAAGTAGTTAATACTAAAATAAATGGTGAGCAGTTAAAGAAGGAACTCATACTACTTAAAGGCTTGGCAATTCAATGGCAGGCAGTGCTTTGTGTTACTGTGTTCAAGGTGATGAGAAGCAGCTCTGCCTTTGCAAAGGTGACCTCTGAGGTATTTATTGCCGAATGAGAAAGAGAACTTGGAGTCATGATGAATAGTTCTTGCAAAATACCGGTTTTATTATGGCAGTGATCAAAAGAAGGAATAAATATTAATAACTGTTAGGAAAGGAAAAGAGAATAAAATGTAAAACATTATTCTAACATAGATAACTCATTGACCCACTTGGATTTTTAATGGATTCGAACAATACAAATAATAATCAATCTGAAGAAGAGCAGATGAATATTAGATTGTTCAGAGATACAGATTTATTTCCCCACAAGGGGAGATAAACAGAGTAGATCTTCTCAATTAAAAATAAGAGAGAAACTTAAGAAGAAATAGGACTGAGACCTGTACATCTCATTAATTCAGTAAAGAACATGAATGGAAAATAATTATTTACTATTTCCCAAAATCTAAAAACTAGAAGACCAACAGAAATTGTTTAGGTAAAAACAAGCAAAAGGGAGTATTTTTTTCACACAACGACAGTTAAATTGTTGAGTTTGTTAGTATGAAAGTTCTTCATGTTAGATGTGTAAATTGATTTACAAAAATATTAGGCAAATCAAAATAAAAAAAGTAAGATACAGAGAAAGGATTTTTACAGACCTTATATAGAAAGTGTTTTTAAACTCAGTGGACTTAGTGCCATCTCCCACTTCAAAAATGCAGGAAATGTCATTCCATATTTGCCACGTGTATCTTGCCTCAGGATCCATTATTAGCCACTGTCTGAGCTGGCACCACTCTAGAAATAGATTTTTATTCTGACTCACAGCAAATGCTCTTAAGGTCTTAATTTCTAGTTCAGTATGCTTCTATATTATAGTTAATATTTAAATAATAAGAAATTTCAGCTGAAATAGTAATTCCAACATCTCCTACAATGAAGAATATGTGTTTTGATGGGTGTAAAGTATCTGGGACTCCTATACTGGAATTATGTCTCCCAACTTTTACATCTTTTTATGTAACACAAATAAAGATTATTATTTCTGTTCTATGCAGAGAGTCTGCAGTAATTTCTGTGTGCTTTCTGTCATTTCTTTACCTGCTTTAGATATGGTAGTATATGGTAGTGTGCTGCAGGAGAACTTTTCTGAACACTGAATAGAAATATTAGTATTTTTAATGAACGTGAGTATGGGACAGTTTGTCCTGTTACAACACCTTTGATTCCCTAGCAATGTATCTACATCTACAATTGTATCTATAGACCCATCTATTTATGCCTGTGAGAGAGAAAAACTCTGAACACGTTACAAATAAGTTCTGTAGGTGAAAAACTTTCCACATTAATACTCAAACATTTCCAAATGTTCCATGTTAGTTAAGCATAACGAAGTGTACTTATTAGATAGAAAGAATTGTGAATATGCTGAATTTCAGGTAATACTGTGGTAGAAATTACATTGGGATTTACTGAATTTCATCCCAATAGCATGAGGTGAGATGTAATAAATACAGGCAGAGCAAGAAAATAATACCTACTGCACTGCTGTTCTTTATGGTTGAACTCAATGATTTTAAAGGTCTTTTCCAACCTAAATGATTCTATAATTCTCTTCTTCCTCAAATAAACAAATAAACTAAAAACCCCAAAAAACAACCCCCCACCCCAAAATCAACCCACAAATAAACAAAAAAAACCCAATCCAACAACAACAACAACAAAATCAAAGATATGAATTAAAAGCACTCTTTCAAAATGACAAGTCAGATATACCTGTGGTAGAAGTCTGTGGCATCAGTTGACTTATTCCATGGGTGATTTTGCACAAACAAAATTTCAATTGCATAAATGCCCTCAGTGGGTGCTGGGAGGTGAACTGCACCTGGGTGCTGCCAGGCAAGGAGGCAGGTCCCCAGGCAGATGAGGTAGCAGAGGTACCTCTGTCGTAGCTCTCCTCCAGGGCTTACAGGGAGAGCAGCAGCAGCTTTCCCTTGCAGAGGCTAAATTCTGCTGGCAGCAGGGATGGCAGGGAAGTGTTGGGTTAGAGCATCTTCTGCAGTATCGCACAGTTACTGTCCCCACCTGATAGGAAGGGGTTTTTTTCCCTTTTTCTCTGGTTTATGTCAGTGGAAGGTTGCATGAATTAGAGGTGTTTCCTAATATGTTCTGCTAGACTTTTTGTCCATTCTAACACTTGAAAAAATAGTCTTTAGCTATCGCAGTAAAGTCTGAGCACTTCTATAAAGGTTTGTGGCCTAAACTGGGATAAAGGCAGTAATATCTCCTTTTATAGTCATCAAAAATAGCATTCACTGTTTTGCTCAGAGGAATATAGAAAGGAATATACAGCACAACTAGGAACAGCACTGAAATGTAACATTCCTGCTACCTTTAGGGTTATTCCTGCTGCATCAACTTCTGCACTGTAGGTGTAAAACCTTTGAAAAGTGATTTGTGAAACTGAAACATGTCAAGGTAGATTCATGTAATATTTTATGGAGGTTGCAGATAAAGTTGGGGGGCCAGTTACACACTTTTAAAAATATGTTTATAATCAAGTTAATTCAAGCATTAAAAATATTGCCAAATACGGCAGTATCTGCCTCTGTCATGTTGATGTAGCTCAATGGTTGTTTAGTTTCCCCATTTTCTTAACTTTCTGGAGAATAGCAGATGTTGAAGTGGATGTAAAAATCTATCAACTGTCCACATCTACCCAGAGTTCTATACAGAAACAATGTGATGACAGTGATTCCGTTTTCACCACAAAATTCGACTCTAATTCCAAATTAGGTCCAGTTGCTGCAGCTCTCAGAAGAGAAACCAGATCCTTCAAGCTATTGTCTCCTTGGCTGAAGGGGACAATTTAACAGCGGGAAGACTGTGTTACCATTTGAGAGATCCTGGGTTTCCACAATATTCCAAAACTGGAATGTTGTGAGGAGCAATTTAGAGCAGCTCAGGGCAAAGGTGGGTTGCTGCAAAACTAATTTAGCTGGACCTGCACATGCAGTGCCTGATTTCGTAATGGGAATTTAAGAAGGTTAGTTTAAAAAGCAAAGAAACCATAAACAAAAATAAATAGTGAGAATATGTACTCTTCATGCTTAACAAGAATCTTGGAAATGCTGGTAACTTGGTGGAACAGCCACAGGCTGTAGATTTTTTTTTTCTTGTTAATCTCTGGACACTGTAAAGAGAACAAGGTAAAACCAGCATACCTGTCCCCAGTTTTACCTTACCTCCTCTGCCTTCTGCAGACTGAACTTTTGGGGAAGCCAGAGGTCCCAAGAAAAGGTTGCAGCTAAGCTGATGTTTTGCAGCAGAGGACAGAGATTTGGCATGTGGCAGTTCCAGTACAGCTATTTCCAAAATATGCTGTGTTCTGTATAGCCGCAGGAAAGGCTTGTCAATAAGCCAGAGAAGAAAAGAAACAAAAGGAATGAGCCCCAAATTTCAAGCCATTGCCATGTAGTTTATCCTGTCTTTGGGGCAAAGTTATGTGGCTGGGAATTTAAGAAAGGAACAGGCTTCTTCCTAGAGCAGTGTGCTGAAAGGGGTTGCAGGATTTTTAGGATGCCTGAGTTCATGTTATAATCAGAAAAGAATCACTGCTCCACTGAGTTGTAAAGGACAAAGTAAGGGTGACTTTGCATGTGCTGCATGACCCCAGAGCAATGGGAATTGTTAACTACCCAAACAACTAGATGTATAGAAAGAATTTAGCTGAAGAATCTAAGAGAGCAGAGCTCTTTGGCCAGGAGGAAGGTGACAGTGGGTGGGATGCGTTTAGGGGGTCTCAAAGATCAGTCTCGGCACATAGAAAGGGAGATGTTTGCTGTCATTCTTCTGGTAGCAGAACTGAGGTCATTTAATGGAAGTAGTAGGTGGTAGATCTGAAAGAAACAAAAGAAGATGCTTCATCATACAAGGCATATTGAAACACCTTATTACAGGATGTTACAGAAACTGGAAGAGTTTATGGGGATTCAAAGATTAATTGGATAGGCTCAAAGAATGTGATTTTTGTCTTGGGCTATTTAATATCAGAGCTTATGTTCAGGAAGTCCTAGAGCCATAAATCAGTGAAAACTGAGGTACCATTATGGCAAATATCTCTGTGTGCTTGTCTTGCTCTTATACTAAGTGTCCCTCACTGACAACGGTTCCAGAAGGGATACTGGCTTTGATAGTGTAACAGAAATGCCCATTCTTATTTTTTTTCAGGAAGAAATATGGAGACAAGATAGCATTTGAGATCTGAATAATGATACAGACATTTTACTAATAGCATGATACTAGCAACCAACTAAACAAGGCATTATTGTAACTGAAAGGAGCAGATCAAGCATACCATATTGCCAATCACTTGTTTTCATTACTGGAGACCTTTGAAGCCCTGCTCCAGCTATTTGGAAACTTGGTGAGGTCCCTGAGCTCCAGGTGCTGAATACTGTCATTTGTCAGTGAAGGAAATCCTTCTGAGAGCAAAGTGGTTTCAAATTGGCAACAAGCAGGATTAGTTCATTTATCACTCTTCCCCTCAGATGAAAGTGCTTGTTTAGGTTACATGGAAAATTAGAGTCTCCTTTAACAGACATCACAAAATTAGTACATGATAAACTGTGTACAGAATTTTGTTAAATGTTACTTTGGAGCTGTAATTTTGGTTAGGCGGTCAGTTGACTTTTTTTGACACCATTTCAGAAGGGGAGATTGTTAATTAATCCTACTGCATAATTTGTTTATATTAAAAATGTGCATTCATTTGCTATGCAAATATTTATTTATTTGAATAAGATGCTGCAGCAGGGTGTGCCTGTGTTAGGTGCAGGAGATAGTGATGATGAGGTTATTTACTACAGTTCAATCCCATCCTGTGATATCTGCTTGTATGTCATTTGGGGCCTTTCTTGAGCTGTTTGAGGTTTGTGCCAAACTGCGCAAAATTCATTTGTTTGTTTTATGAGGTGAGAATAGAGGCTGCCAAACAGCATCTCTGCTTGTAACGTGTGTTAACATCGTGTGCAGTTGAAGTGAAATGGATTAACATACTCTCTCTCTTAGGTAAAATACCCTTGTTGTTCTTCAAGCTTGATATAAAAAGTGTTTTAATAGAGAACTGGAGCTAATTTCAGCGAGGTTTAGGCTTTTTTATCTTTATGTGGTGTAGATGAACAATTTAGTAAGGTCTGAATTATAATTAAAAGACAAAAGTGAACTGAGTACAATAAAATTATATATTTTACTTGAAAGGGCTCCAAGTTTTTGTAATTTCCATTTAGCTGAGCCAGCAGACTGTAGAGCAGATAGAGACAACCAACACTATGTCATGCGAAACTGAAGTATAAATTTATAATGATAATGTACAGTTTTTGTTCCCTGGTGTTCTTCTGCTTTGCCCCTTAGTTGTAATTTCTCTTAAAACATCAAAAACTCTCTTGTATAAAAACTATATATGTAATTTTGAAAAGTACCTCAGTGCCTTCTTTATGTAATTTCTGTAACTGTACAGAAGTACTTCTAAAAAAGAATATATACACCAGTCTTCATGAGAATGGCTGAAAATCATAAGAGACTTTAAAAAGTAGCTGGTTTTATATTTGCCTTCAGGATTTTGAGGTTTTCCTTTAAAAATAATTTAATTTTGATGTATTTTAGTATTTTTATATATGCATTTGACTCCAGCATCTGAGATTTTAAGAAACTCACTGAGTACCACAGGACACATCATGAACCTTAGTGAACCAGTCTTTCAAAGTGGTAGATCTCAACTGTTCTTCTACCAGCCTTCATTGCCATCCTGTCTCCTCTTCAGCATCCTGTCTGCTCCCAGTGAGAACTGTTGCTTCCATAACCTACCGTGCTAGCCCCAGTAGCCCAGCTTTCCTCTCTTTCTCCTGTTCCCTGTCTTTTACCAAGTCCCACCAAGGCAGCACAGAGGTCAGTCCGAGCATGATGTGTCTGGGAATGAGCTTGGGCTCTACGCCATGTCTCATCTCTGTTGTCAATACACTACACCCATCAGAAATGCTGCATTTATGGAACGATGGTTTTGACTGGTGTAATCCAGGGGTACTCTTCTGCACGAGTATTTCCGGGCTTAGATCCATGCCCGCAAGTACAACTCCAGTCAGTACAAGTGGTAAGGTGACTGTCAGAAGGAAGCATTTCCTCTTCTACTTGACTAAGTTTTATGTGGGAATCTCTGAGGAGGACATTTTCCTGACCTGTATGCATACTCGGCAGACTGCAGTAGTTCCAAATAAGCCTTTTCAACCCAGCATATGAATTACTTACTTGAATGCTTTGGTATGTTGTATAAAGTATGACTTTAGGGCAGGGATTTTGGGTTGGTTGTTGTTTTTTTTTTTTGGGACACACACACACACACACACACACACACACACACGTGTGTTTAGTTAAAGAAAACTGCTTTTTTAAAGATATGCAAGTCTGTCTATTAAAGGTGGAAGACCAAGTCCAGCTTCAAATGAAGCTGTTTTAAGAGATGAGCAGTATGCTGGAGCCTCACACAATGCCAACTCTCTCTCGCCGTTTGTTGGGGAAAATGCAGTAATCCAGAGCCATACTAGGATTTCTCATTATAGAGATGTCACAGCTTTTTCAGTACACTGCAGCCCATTTGCTAGTGCATTATTAGTTATTGGCACAAGCAGTAAAAGTTCATCTGAAAAGCACCATGCTCCATTAGGCAGGTATGTTATTTCTTCTTCCTTGCTGTGTTTCTCACTCACTAGATGGCAAACACAGCCAACTTAGACCCAGGACATCCAGCAAAGTCAGGTTGTCACAGTCTAACAGCAGGAGATACAGTGGTGCTTTCTTTTCTGAGGATACATAGGCAAGACAGAGATGCATAGATTTAGTGTACCAATTGCAACTGGCATCCCAGTGGTATGTATACTTGTGGAATAGGATGTAGATGAGGTAGGTGATGGAGCAGGAGAAGTACTGGAGTCTACTGAGTAGTGCATTTCCTGATCTGAGGTGATGTAAAATAGGAAAAATCCATCTGTGGTGAAGATGTTCCTGCACCCGTGAGGCACCTGTCAGAGTTATGTTGAGGAGCTGCAGGCAGACAGCTGGATGCCACAGGTGTAGCACCAACAAAATTTTTCGTACTTACATAGGTTAGTGCTAAGGTACAGGACTGAGGAGGTATGACAAATCCACACTGGCAAGCTGTAAGCCGGTTTTTTCTACAGACTCCTGCCTTCAGCTAGAACAGTAGTGCAAGATTGTTGCCCATGGGGAGCCTTGGCTGGTGGATCTCCCCTCTACAGCCATTCTGTGCCATTGATGTGGTATCCTGATTGATACATCAGAAAGTTTTACGGTGAATCATGGTTGGTTTTTCCAGAAAGTATTCTCCCTAGGACCAAAGCTGTGCTCTTCATACCAGCAATAGCATCCATGCTATTCCAGAGAGCTAATCAGTTGCTGCCTACACAGCTGAGCATCTCCTGCACATGCACTGTGCCTGCACAGGGGTGGGAGCTGCATCTGCACAGGTAGGAATGCACAGGCATAACTCACAGCAAGGCTAGAAACTTTTTGTTTCAGTCACTGGCTCCTGAAGATCCCATGTGTGGGCTGAGCATTTTAGATACCAGTTTGCCATTCTGTTTGGGCTGTGAATTTTCACCATCATGTGTGTAATTTAGTATGAAACAGTTCCAATTTCTGCAGTGTCGAGCATTATGTGAATTCTACCTAGAAGGCATATTCAAGCAAGGAGTCTGAATCCCTGCACACCCAGAATATGCACCTCCTAAGCTGCCTTTTTATGACTGAATATGTTGGTTATTATTTTTTATTTTCCCAATCAGACTAGGTGACTAGGAGATCAGTGTGTACTTATATAATTGGAAGATACGTACTAAAAAGCATCCGGATGTGGTAAGCTTCAATTTTTTTACAAAACATTAGTATGATTTTAAGAGAACCAAACAATTATTTGTGAAATGTGATAAAAATAATTTGCTCCCTGTCTGACAGCTGTGTGCACCAAGTTGTGCTCAGTGAGCCGGTGTTACAGCCAGTTGTAAACTCTCTCGTATAGGGGTTTATAATGGAAAGTGCAACTCTGCCTTCACCAGTGCTGTGTAGACTACACTGCTGTGATACCAATTTGATTAGATGCTTTGTTAAATCAGTTATTCCTGGTAACAAAAGCAAAGGGCATGTGATGTTTTAGCATCACACATACTGCTTTTATCTGGGATACTTGGCAGGTGAATATTTGAAGGGGAGAACTAGAAATAGAGGCTCTAAGCTGTTTCAATTCCCTTCTTGCAGCATGGGTTTGTGAAGCGATTCATTCAAGCTGCAGCCTATAGACCATACATCACCTTCCTGGTTGGCTTTGTTGGCACCTTGTCACATTCTTGTGGGCTTGAGGAATTCATTGTTCTTGTTTGAACTGATAAGAACAAAAAAGGATTTTCTGACCTTGGGAAAGGCAGAGGGGGAGGAATGTTGACATGAAACAGCAGGGCTGCACTTTCCCAAGCCTTGAAGCAGCCTGCATTCTTCCCTAGCTGGGGAGCCCGGGTTGAGGTGTGATAAGCACTGATTTCCTTGCTGCTGCTGCCCAAAAGCATGGCCCCAGGGTTGGATCACTTCAAAAGGAGTCTCTCATAGGGCAAGAGATCACAATTACCAGGATGAATGTGAAGCATAGTGTTACTTAATTTGAGCCAGTCCTCCAAAATTCACCTTGCTCTGTGTCTTCCTTTTGGGAAAGGTACCACTCTGATCCTTCTTCCTCTGCTGTATCCTTGAATGCTCAACTTAGGAAAGTGACCTAAAGTTCTTGGTTCCAGAACCACTCCTTGAAAGTGGAACATGTTATGGATATTGAGAACATCACTTTGCTTCTTACAGGCTTGGTAACAAGTGCTGTCACAGACATAACATCTCATCACTATCCTGGAGTCACTGTCCTGAATGAAAACTCTAGCTGAATTTTTGTGCCTTTTTTTTTTAATCAAATTTCTTCAATATTATGAAAGAAATTTGTTTTCTTGCTTCTCCTAAAAGCACAAGAGGTCACTACAAGGGCTTACAAAGATGTGTCAGTATGAATCATATTGGTACTGATGAGCAGTGAGCTACAAAAAATACCAGTTAAAACCAGAATTTTTTCTGGAACAGACAACCATCTGTCCAAAGCTTTTTTTCCTGCTGTGTGCACAGAGGAGTGTTTTGATTGTATTATGCCTTCCAGGTTGTGATGGTTTTAGTCTAGGCCTTCCTGGTGACCAGTTTGTAACCAAGGAAGTAGCCAAGTACCCAGTATTCCACACAATTTTTACGTAAACCAGAGTATAAATAAGTCGGAGATTAGAGACCTCGCTCTCTTCTCTTCCGGCGAGGTTTGGGAACAGTGGGTCCCTGCGTTGGTCTCGCTTATCTAAGGCTGAGACCTGCAGAGTCCACCGTCCTGCCACATGGAGGTTTGGAGAGTGCTGGCTGTGACTGCCGATCCTGCTGTTTTAAGGGACGTGGTGAGATCTGTTTTGTTAGTTATTAGTATAGTCTGATCTAGTATACCTGTTCGGTGTCCCTTTTATTCCCTTTCGTCCCCTTTTATCCCCTTTCCCTATCCCTTCGGGGGGTGGACCCCCTTTTACTGTGTATATAGCATCTTAACTGTACATAATTGAAATTTACGTAAATATAGATATATTTTTATATAAGCAGCTTGACTTTGGGTTCTTTAATTTTTTATAGTTTCTTTTTCCTTTAACTTAAAGAAAGAAAGGAGGGGGAAAGGGGGCTACTGTCGTAACTTTCGGACATTTGGCAGGGAGCCAAGTCCAAACCGTCACATAGGCACCTATGGAAAAGCGAACATTACCTGCTTAAGCTCTCTTGTTGAGAGGATATCAGAAAGCCCTAGCAGAGGCTGTCCTTGAAATAATATCACCTCTCTTTGAAATAATAATAACAATTAAATAAAAAATAGTTCTTTACCTTTTCAGGGGGCCAAACTTTAATTTCAGGACACTGATGACAAATAGAAAGGATCTTTTCCATTTTTAGAATCAAACAGAAACAAGGATGTTGGCTCCAAGGGGAGTATGTAAGATCAGTGTGTGGTAAAGGGTCTTTCCAATAAATTCCTTGGTTTTTCCTTTCCTGGTTATTTTTCTTACCATTTATTCTACTGATATGCTGATCTGCAGGACCATCTGGAGTGATCCACAGATAAAACACACCACTTGGCAGTACAGCATAGGATGATGGAGAAAGCTGCTAAAGGAGCATCTCTTGTAAGGAAAGTGAGCAAACTAGGCATGTTCAACCTCGAGAAGAGAGGGGACATTATCATTGTATATATGTGTCTGAGGCAGGGGTGCCAGGAGGATGGAGCCAGGCTCTTCTTAGTGGTACCAGGCAATAGGAAAAGAGGCAACAGGCAGAAATTGATGCATAGGAAGTTCTATCTGAATATGAGGAAGAGATTTTTTACTGTGCGGGTGACCATGCACTGGAACAGACTGCCCAGAGAGGTTGTGGAGTCTCCCTCACTGGGGATATTCAAGAACTGTGTGGGTGCAATTCTGTGCAAGGTGCTCTAGGATAACCGTGCTTGAGCAGAGAGCCTGGACCAGATGACCCGCTGTGGGCCCTTCAAACCTGATCCATTCTGTAAATTCTGATACAGTGCAAATATTAAGGCTGAACTAGCAATGCTTTTGAAAGAATACAATTTGTGTGATATACTAGGTGTTCTATGGGTTATTTTCATGTTAAGAGCAGACTTGTATCTACAGGTGGGACACAAAGCCAAAAGAGATAAATTATGATTTAAATCAGCTTCACACAAGGAGGTGACTCTCACTAAACTAGGTTTCCTGCTGAGCCAGGGCACTGTGGGGAGCACTGGCTTGAAAGTTGTGCAAGGAGTACAAGCATGCCCACCAATACTGTTGTCACAGGAGGGTGGAGGGGAGATGAGGCAGCAGCCAGGGAGGAGAGAGCAGGTTGATTTTGACAGGAGAGAAGGGAAGTGGTGAAATACTGAGGTGGCAGTGGCAGAGATCTGAGGAGATGTAATAGGCTAAAAAGCAGTGGCAAGCTGACCACAAGCAAGTTAAGAAGCATCAGTGTACAACGTAAAACTTGACTGTCCAGCTTCAAGTCCAGACAGTATACTTCACATGCTTCAGTTTTCATCGTGTATAAAATAGGAATGGTAATTCCAGTCTATTGCTTTATGAAATATTTTGACATCCTCAGATGAAAAGCCCAACATTTGTTTTATTAGCACAGAGGAAAACCTCTCTACTTGGGAAAACCTGCTTCTAGGGGTCCAGATCAGCTCCTTTGGAGTTGGAACAGTTAAGGCTATCATCTGTCTACCTGTTGCTCAGACCACAGGATTGAAATCTGTAATTTAACATTCAGTACCTTTCGTTGCCTAAGGGGTGTTGATATTTTGAAATTTTTATTACTGGTAGTGGCTATATAGAGAATATACACAAGGATAAAATACACACAAGGTGTAAATGGAAAAGTGCCAGTATGCGTGGATGTGCCTGTGTATACGTGTAAGACTATTTTTGTAATACGTGGAGCATCTTATATAAAGGACAAAGACTTGGGACAAGCTTGTTGGGTTTTTTAAGTCAGTATTGGCAGGTCTAAAAAAGAGTAGTTTTCTGCCTGCAAATCTTGCCTTGCTCATAACCTGAGCTGGTCATATTACAGTGCCTATGGCAATTCAAACACAGTTTGTAAGAGGTGCTATTCTCTTGGCAGCATAGTGTCTTCTTCTTGATATCACTTGAACAGGTATGTGCATATTTAGCAGTGGTTGCCAGAGAGTATTCAGTACTAATTTGAAGTAAGGTGGAGTTTGTGGTACAAATGCCCTCTGCACTGGGCTTACAGTGCAAAATGCTGCAAGGATCACATCTCTCATCTCATGTCAGTATTTCTACTGAAGTGAGGGCTGCTGGCTCAGATTCTGCCTTTGCAGGTGTTCCTAATGATTTTCTTTTCAGATGACTCCACATTTTTGTCTCTTTCTTCAAGTCCAGCTCCTCTGATATTCCCACTCGCAAGCTTGCGAGCTTTGAGCTTTGCCTTTTCTCTGGAAGCTGCCCTGCTTTCCAGGACTGAGCTCACTGACAGTGTATCACTGCTCTCTGCTGGAGAAGCACTGAGCTGGGCCAGGCCTCTCTGGGTCTCCAGCTGTTTGTCAGGAATGCAGGTGTGATGGCCAAACTGATAACCTCTGAGCCTTCAAGAGCAAACTTAATGTAGGGCTTATTCCTGTTCCCCCTACAGCACAATTTAGGGTCTCTTGCGCACATTGGAGACAAGGGTTTTCAGAAAAAAGTGAGAGAGATAAATAGGGTGATTCTGGGTGATTATAAACATCTGTGGTCACATGGACTTGCATCTTGGTAGTGCATGATAACAGACACTGGTGTCATTTTCACAGGTTTCTGCTCTAGCCTGGAGTATAATTGCCAGTTGTATTTGCAGTCATATAATGATCCATCTGTAAAATGTTTCTTCAGATGGAATGTCCAGTTAGAAGAGTGTTTTTCTATCCAAGGGGCATAGCAAACATGAGGTCCTAGGAGCTCATGTTGAAAGAGACTTGTTCCAGTCATCTTGATCAGATTTTGGTAGTTGCGGAAGTTATTCTGGCTGTTGCATTGAGTCATTTTTCAAAGACGCAGGAAAATGATCAGATCTTCCCCACAAAATGGGAATTATTTAAAATAATGTCTCCCACTTGAGCTCCCCCCCCCCCCCCCCCCATCATGCATATGCACACATGATACATCTTCTAATTTCATATACTTTTGTGGTTCTGGCATCTTTTTTTCTTGAAAACAATTCAAACATAAATCATAAAAAGGCAGCTTTACAACAGCTTTAAAGTGCTGTTATATTCTGAACATTCCAAGTGAATTATTGCTGTGCTGTCAAAGAAAACAAAAACATTTGGGAAGGACTGTTTATTTTACAGTGGTTGACCAAAAGTATGCAAGTGGTTATAAAAAATGTAGACAGCTAACAATGGGAGGTGCCATTGCTGATTCTGTAACCCATTCACAAACCTTTAACACTGACTTTAGATCATTAGAGCTAGGCACTTCCCATAGGAAAACACACACATCTAAATCACACAAATTATAAACAAAACACACCATTCTCCCCTCCCTCAATCCACCCTGGTCCTTCTTCCCCACCCACCTACATAGACAAGCAAAAAGAATGAGATTTCTAATGTACTATGGCCTTTTCAGCTAACTGTTCTTTGAACTGGTTTCCATTACAGCAGGGTAGTAGTAGAGGTGTGTATTTAAATTAGACTTGTCTTTCAGAGAAACCTTTTTATTTGGTGGAACCACTTTTGGTGCTATAGGGTACTGGTTCCTATTAGACTTGCTGTGTATTGAGGTCCCCACCAAAAATTGTTGCATTCAGGTTGAAGGTAAGTTTGAGCCTGTAAGCTAATGTGCTTGTCGTTAGAAATAAGGCACGTGGTTCTGGTCTGCTCATCCTAGAAAGTGAGTAGTAGAACAGAAAGCAGCCCAAAGGGTGACCAAGGAGGCTGCCGTCTGGGTGGCTGCTCAGTGATAAATGGCTGAGTAAGCTGGAACTCTTCAGCCTAGAAGAGAAATGACTTTAGAAGAGTCTACAAAGTCATGAATGAGAGGCATGGAGAGAGTTGGTAAGGATTGACTCGACTAGTTTTTCTAACACGAGTGAGTGGTATCAAATAAAATCAGTAGTAGCCTATTTCAAAACAAGCAGAGATGGTTCTTCACACTGCAGGTTGTAGATCAGTGGAACTGCTTGCCAAAGGACATTGGATACTAACATTTCATGAAAGTTCAGATGAAGGCTGGAGAAATTCATGGGAGGAGAAACTCATGAGATCCTTGAAGGGTTACTAAACATAAACAGACCACATGTTGCTGAGGAGCTCCTCCAACCTAAAATAACTAAAGGTTTGAAGAATATCAGGGCATTATCCTTTCTCTGTGTGGCCTTCTTCTAGGCATATGTTTATAGAAAAAGAACACAGAACACATTAATATCATGGTCATAATGATAATAACAATCATAATAATAAGAATAGTTTATGAAAAAAAAACCTGTGAGTACTTACTGCAAAGTGCTAGAAAGTTCAGCCTTGGTCTGCATCAGTTTAGCTGCCAGTATCCTGCAGGACACTAAAAGAAGAGAATAGAAGAAAGAAAACTGTTAAAACATTGTTGTCCACCCACTGCCCAGCTCTATACGTGCTGAAACACGCGCAAGTTCCATGTGCAGTTGTTAATGAACTTTCTTCATTAATGAAGAAAGGATGTGGATCACAGTGAACATGCCTTTCATAAATGTGCCAGGATTACTGTGTCACTGCTGTTGACACATTTCCTTTCCCTGTTGGTGCACACCCTTTCCCATGTGTTCTACAGTGCATGTGATTTGGTCTGAGTAGTCCTCCAGTTATGTGGAATTTAATTTGAAAATCGAGGTGGGGAGTGTCTGTGAGCTGACTAGTAGCTGATCAGTCCTTTTGCCCTCTATTTACTACCCTAGTACATCAACAGTGCCAAAGACTGTACAATACGTAACTAAAGCTGTCTTTCCTGACCAGAGGGAAATAAGCGTCCAAAAGCCTGCTGCTGTTTGCCAAAGGGAACCTTAGTCAGTGGGAGAGAGAGAGAGATGTTTGGTCTTTTTGCTGCTTATATTAGAATCATGCACTGCTATTTCTATCTGTTTTGCCAGTTGGCATCTGTCCACCTTTTCTGTTCATGCTCAAACAGCCAGGAACAGTACGGCAGGAGAGGAAGCCCCTTCTCATATGTTGCTGACTGAACTGCCAATGGCTTGTGTTTGTAGTGGATCCAGCAACAAAACAAAGCAACCCCATCGCATCAGCTGTGTGTGCTAATGATAGGTTCATTGAATAGTATTGGAGCAGTGTCTCAGACTGTCCCTTCCTCTTCAGTTGCAATAAATGCATTAGACTTATTTAATGTCTAAAGAAAAAATGGCATATGTTTCTCTAAACTTGAATAGGTATTTTGTTAGACAAAACAAAATCAAAACAAACCTAACCCAAACAAAACAAAACAAAACACCGCTAGAAGGAAAACCATGAGACACTTACTACTCAAGTTTACTGATCGAGTTGATTAGATGGTTTAACTGAGCTCTGGTACAGCTGAAAATTAACTCTTCTGACCAGGAAAAGGTAAAGCAGCTTACAAACAGCCTGTAATGAGAGAATATGAGTCATTAACTTGCATGTGCAGACAGGGTATACACTGGTGGGTCTCATGCCCAAGTTACAGTCTCAACAGAAATACTTTTATGGGGACTGAATAATAGTTGGGAGAAGCAGAGGGGGTAGGGAAGCAAGAAAAACAGCCAAGTAATTGAAAACATCCTCTAGAGAAGTAGCCTGCAAATGACATTTGGGATGCTGAATGTGAGCTGGCAGTATGAATGCAGTTCTTACTGAAAAGCTGTTTTTTGAGGTAGTCATCATTTTGGGACTGTTTGATTTGAAAGGATACATTTGCTGATAGAAACAGGTTTTTCCTAGCCTTTCCCCATGGGAACAGTACTTACTGATGCTGGTGCTGGATTCTGCTCATTGCATCTCGCTGAAAAATAATCTTTCAGTTTTTCTTCCACACACTCATTCTGAACTACCAACTTATGTGATCACTGTGGGAGTCAAGGTACACCCAAGGTGCTGTGCCCTGTGCTAACCTTAGTGAAACCACTGACTAGCTTGAGTTCAAAGACTCAAATCAATCTGCTATGTTTTCTAAAGCAACTTGCTATTGAGAATAATAGAAGGCAATATTTTTAGCATGAATAGTTTGATCTTGTTGTAGTCAGACACTATTATTTCTAGAATTTATTCAGCTTTCTGAAAATTCTAGAATAGAATAGATTAATGTATCTAGGGAAAGTTTTTAATAATTTATTTTAAATGGATTGGCCCACAATTTAAATAGTTTCTTTTTCTTCTAAATTGAAGGGTATTTTTGTTCTTAGTCCTCTGAACCTTTCATTGGGGAAGTACTTTTTACAAGAGTGAAAAATTTAATATCTTCAAGTGTACCACATTTCTGATGTGTAGATCTTTTGGGCGTTGTATAAATGACAATGCCGTTGTTCCGCATGGAACAGCAGAAAGTTGAATTGGTGGTGTATTCTAATGTTTCATTCCATGCCTGATAGACTTTGCTGTTTCTGTTTCCTGTAAGTGTGTTTCAGGAGTTTAAGTTTTGTTATAAAACACACACTATTCTTTCCTATTCCGTGCAAGAAAAAGAATGTATTTCAAAAGGTTTATTCCTCAGCTGGTAGAAAAGGTTATTGTGAAGGTGTTTCAGAAACGATAGCACATTTACTCAAAGATTGTCTTTTCTGTTATGTGGAGAGCCTCGGCACCATAATAAGGAATACTTTGAAAATGGAAAATCTTGTCAATGGATTGCTCATGTTACAGAAAAAGAGCAAGACTTAACCCTGGGCATTTTATGTATTTGTATTCAGCATCTTTTTTCCGCAAAGCCAATTGGAGCTGTGATTATTTCTGTGAGTTATTTCATAGAGAAAACTCACAAAAGGAGTGGCATCTAGGGTCGGTTTTGCTTGCTGGTTGATCTGCAGTAACCAGCCACATGTGTAGGGTTAGTTTGCTGCAGATGGAGGGTAGATGGCATCACTTTAACTTTACCGTGCCTGCAATTCCTGATTTGAACTGACCCAGAGGCAGATGGTTGGTAGTAAAAACCTAACCTAGAAATGTTTTGGCAGGGAAAGTTTAAGGTATGGGTATGGGATTTAGGTATTAAATTTAATTTAAAAGATTAGGGTATGGGAAAAGGCTTAGGAAAAAAGGGATTGTTGACATAGCTGCAGTGTCTGTGGAAGGTGGGCATTCATTTCTAGGATGTCCCTAAGTCTGAGGTGTCTGGGTATGGGAACACTGCATGTGAAGAACAAAACACTAGAGCTCAGAGATTCCAGAGTTTAATATCCATCAGGGTGCTTTTCCTTCCTTGCTTTTATGGACAATGAATCAACCTGGGAGAATAATATAAGTCTAGATTTACTGTACATGTTTTAAGTCTCATATTCTTTATAGCATAAGATAAGCTGTAAAAGTTCCAGGTTGCAGTTCTTTGTAAATCAGTGAAGTGCCATCAGAGGGATGGAGACAGTGCTTGAATATAAGTATCAGAGAATAACTAGGGAAAAAAAAAAGCACTAGTTCAGTGTTATGAACTAGTTGAACTAGAGCCTTTTCACTACCTTAAAGCAAGTAAAAACATCCAAGATGAGTAAAGGTTTTCTTGTGGCCGAGCATTACTCTTGATAATTTTTCAGTCTTTTAGAAGCAAGATAGTGATCTGTAAGGCCAGGCGGAGATTCTTTCAGTCGTGCCTTACAGAATGAACCTTTTATGATCCTGAATCTCCAATCTTGCTTATATGTCTAGTGTTCTGGGCTGCCACTGTCATTCTTTGCATGAATAGGAAATACTTTCTCTAAGTGGGTATTGATTTTTGCAAAGGTAAATAATACCAGCACGTTGTTTGAAAAGCATCTGAAAGGCAGGATTATTTTGTCTGAAAGCTCTGCATTAAAGAGTACATGGATTTTCCATAATTTTGTTGTTACCAGGAGTACTCACTATATTCTTTGTGCTCTAGGCACTCAATAGCAGCTAGCGGGTACATTCAGCTGACAACGATTTGCAAGTGCTATGCACTATCTTTTTGTCTTTCAGGATTGTATTGTCAACCCCTAGTGGAGTTCCTGGATGCCTTCTGCATAAAAATCAATGTCAGTAGAAAAGACCCTAGAGAAGGGCACAGAACTTCTCATTCATCTCTGTAGCTGAGGTGAAAACTTTTGTGAGCTTGGCTCGTAGGAGAGCTGGTGGCTCAGCAGCTCAGGTGAAGCTGTTAGAGCTGCTCTTGCACCTTGCTGAGGGTGCTTGCTGGTCTTGCAAGATACCCTCAGCCCTCACCTCATGTGCTTTTTATTGCAGCCCACACCCCTTCCTTCACACTGCCTCAGCTGAAATCATGACCTTGGCACACAGAATAGAATTATGCATGATTCTCCTTTTGCAGTGTAGTGATGTGACCTATGTGCTCTCGTTCCTCAAACTTCTCTCAGTTAATGCCTTTCTTCCCACTCTCCCATTCACCATAGATTGGGCCCTGATGCGACAGTCTCAGAAGACAGCCCACCATGATGTTAGGCAGCCTCAGAGCTCTGCTGTGAAGGGGCTTCCGTTGTCTAGTTGAGAGCTGTGTTGTGCTGTTGGCTGAGGGATGGACAGATGAAGAGTGTGTCTATGGGTGGGTAGGAGGGAGGATGTGGTGCTCATCCACCTCACAGCAGTGTGCAAGCTGCAGCGTCCAGCCAGCTTCACACATCCCCCTTTCCTTCTCTCCTTCTATTTCAGCCTCCTCCTTGCTACTTTTCTCCTTTGACTTACTCCACCACCTATTTAATTAACTAGTCTCGTGATTACAGGTCTCTAACGCAGCGCTTGCTTCTGTCCTCAGAGGAAAAGGAAGGAAGAAGGGAGGGAGGAAGGGAGGGAGGCCAGGCAAGCGGAGCCCCGTCTCTCCCGCTGACACTTGCCTGCTGACATTCGCCCCCAGGGTCTTGGCTAGGGAACAGCCACTATTGGCAGCAGTCTGGGAGGAACTTGCAGTGGTAGCAGAAGAAAAGAATTTGGCAGGGAGGTGAACCACATGATTGTGATTCATCCTGCACTCTTGAAATGTGGCAGGAGGGGTAGGAAATGCTTCGTGTGCCAGCACTGAGAGCAGAGACGTTCATGTTCAAACATCACATTCTTTTTATAGTAAGGCATGTCTCATAGGAAAAATATTGAACTTGGCCTTCCAGGATGAAGAAAATAGACCTAACTGTGATTTTACTTCTTGAGTCACTCACTTAATCAGTTACTGGTTGCATGTAGGAAGCCTTCTATTAGGCTGACTTGGAAAAATTGGTTTTCATTAATTATTAGTGACACTGAGCTGTTTTTCAAACAGTTTGCTCAAAACTGCTTTCATTTTTAGTTCCCCTTATCAAAAACACTCCTAAGATACCATGACTCAGAAGAATCATCACCTTAATCCAGTCACTTGATG